GCGCGCGCGGCTTGTGTGTGTGTGTGTGTGTGTGTGTGTGTGTGTGTGTGTGTGTGTGTGTGTGTGTGTTTGTGTGTGTGTTTTGTTGACTGGTCTCAAAATGTACATTTTTTGTCTTTTGATTTGTCAGTTATATTGAATGGTAAATCTGCATTTTACAGAGCTTAGAGTCTTCCAGGGATAAGGCATTATATAAATTCATATTATTATAGTTATTGTTATTATTTATGATTATTATCATTATTATTAAAGTTATTTATGATTATTATTATTACCATTATAATTATAAAAAAGAACCCTGTGTGAAAGTGAAAACATGTTATAGAATATTCATTTCTCAATTTGATTAAACAAATACAATCCAGAAGATTAAGTTAGCCAAATCTAGGTTAAGAGATGTTTCTAAAGTGTAGGCTACTAAAAAATATATGACTGAAATAATAGGCATATAATAAGTCCCTTTGTTAAGTATTGCTTTACTTTCAGTATAAAAAAGGATTTAAACAGGACGCAGCAGTAAATCAGACTTTTAACAAATCACACATTTTGTTTACTGTTCAGGCAGTTTTAGTTGGCCATACAGCCTACTTATCCTGGGAAACTAGTCTAACATTATGTACAATTCCTGTACAATATGAAACAAAAAAATGGTAGCAAATGTAAAGAAACAGAACTCAAAATAATGAAAGTACTTAACTTATTTTTTAGGTTTGACAGCATGTTTTCATAGTGACGGGTGTCTAATTAGAATTGAGATAGACTTGAAATTTGGCAGTTATCTTGGCTACGCCACTACAAGGTAACACACAGAAGTAGAAAACGATTCATTGACAGAAAAAAAGCTTAGAGACAAAACAAAATTTTAATGAGAATGATCTTCACCTCAAATGCAACAACGGGTTAGCATTGAAGGCCCTACAAGGTACCAGAAACTACATTTTCAAAGTAGCTGTAGGTCAAATTTATCTGTTTCATATAAAAGGCCCGTGTCTCCTGTAAATTTTGGTTCCATACGTTTACCTCTCACTCAATTTTTTTTAAAATGGCGGCTGTTTTAATTTAATATTATTATAATTGAATATTGCTAAATTCGCTAACCGGATGCCACCCCATGTTTAACAGATAATAAAGAGTACCAAGTGCACCAAACATCTTGACATTAACAGAGTACAATCACTATAACATAGAAATGGAGCCAGATTTTTTTTTTCAAGACTGTGAGATCATAACAAATCTGTATTGTATTGCCTCAAACACGATGATCCATCGTTATTTCGATTTTAAAAAGAACACTGAGTGTTGTCCCGGCCGGCGCCGCACCGGTCCCCGCGGCCAGCGAATTGGTTCTGACTGTAGTGTACTGAGTACTTCCAGGAGTTTTGCGAAAGGATGATGCAAATGTAACATAATTCCAAACCGATGACTTTATTCTAATAGAAAAAGAACTGATCTTTCTATTGGTACTTTTTTTGTTCGGTATTTTACATAATTCGAGTTAAAAATGATCTTTGAAAACTTGTACAATTTTTAAAGACTTTCTATTTAAACGCCAAAAGCCAAAAATATACCACGTGAAGCCCAGTTCAAAACTCTAAAGAAGTTGTTTGCCAATGAAAAGACGGTATTTAATCACCACTCTTTCTTCAAAGCATTCCAAGGCATGGGTGTTAATTTTTTGAACCGGCAGACTTCACATTCCGACCGCGAAGGTCTTCGCTTTCCACGGCGATTCTCTAGCTCCAAATACGCGGAAAAAGAAACAAATTACACTATTGAAACGAAAAAAAAAAAGCTTAACTTTTTCAAGGTGTACAGCATTTGGTGCTGTTATAGCGAAAGAGCAAAGAAAAAAGGATCTGAATTACCTCGTTTTCACCGAAACCACGTGCTGGAAGTCCGCGAGCTTTTACGTGCCGTGTTTACCCATCTTATACGTTTGCAATAGTACTATAAACACATGAGTGCACACACATACACACACACACACATGCACACACAAATACACACACAATTTCACAAACATACAGAAACACACACACATGGATGCCTCGGTGGCCTCTTGGTAAGGAATCCACCTTTGGAGATCTAGAGGAAGATATCAGTCTTTTAAAAAACCCACTAAAACACAATAAAAACAAACTTTTACAGTCAATCAAAGTGCAAAACTGAAAGATCAACAGCCCATAACTGAGCAAGCAGGGCACGCTTACACAGTCAGCTGTTTACATAAAAAAGCTTGAAGCGGGCTACGAGTAACCATTCTTACTCCGTTTAACCAATCAGAGTCCTGATGAGTCATTCATAGTGACGTTAAGTCGTTTATATTTCAGACTATTCATGCTCGAAAATGGCTAAAAGGATTAAAAATAGAGGCGAATAAAGGACGTTGAAGCAATGTGGCCATGAGGTAAGGGTTCTGTTTTATATAATTTCACAACTACATTCCAGAAGGTCAAATGATCGAAAGGGTTTGAGGTCCAAATTCCTTTATCCTGTCACCCAAGCTCACAACAAACAACACACAGACCTAAAAAATAAATCAAAATAAAATATTCACAGTCGATTATACAGTGGAATCCTGTTATAACGAGAGGGAGGGGACCGGTGCGAAATGTTCGTTATAGCAGGATTCTCGTTACAAGGGATCCAGTAATAAATTCAAGGGAAATAGTAAACTAGGCCTAATCTTTGAGTTTGGCGTTCTGTTTATTCCTTTTTGTATTTCTCCTAATGATGATTTGTTCAACATAATCTCTAGGTCTTACTTGATAAAAAAATCGAATCAGGTTTCTTTCTCTAGCACTAGCAATGTTGACAAATCGGCCTTGGTGATCAGAAAGAAGGGGCTCTGGCTCTAGGCTAACTCGCCCGTTGTGTTGTCCCCTACTCCACCACACCCTGTGGTGCGTTGCGTCTGCTTGTGCACGTCACACATTCACTCCATTCATCTATCACAGCATTGTGACCACTCCATCCCGCACCAGAGAAGTGAGAGGCACGGTATGCCTAGAATCTAGACTGGGCTGGCCTATCACGCGATGCGTTCTGCTTGTCTGCGCATGCCACACCCTCCCCACTCATTCGCTTCGGCTTTCATTGTTGGTTCGTGTGGGCTCTCCCATTCTTTGTTTCGCTAGATCACCAACAACTTTCTCAACTGGCAAGGTTTTATAACATGTTTAATTGGTCTGTGCGCTGTGCACAGCAGCAGCAATATTCTGTTATAACCGACTCGCGTGACGATCTGATTGCGCAATAGCAGTATTTTTTTTACAAAGATAAAGAAGGAGAAAATACGGGGTTTTACAATAGTGTCTTTATAACAGACTTCTCGTTGTTTCAGGACTCGTTATAAGTGGACTCCACTGTAGTAGTTTATTTTTATCTTAAATGAAGCAGAAGACATTAAACTTTCAAGAGATCCAAAAAACAAAAAATTCATGGAAAGTCACTATTTTGCCTTTCGAACCTAATAATTTAACACCAAATAGCACATTGCGTCTTATGACGGATTATGACTGTTGTGGACAGAAATATCAACATTTTTACACAAAATCACCTAATGCTGCACTTCTCTAGCATAGAGACTAAAAGCATTATAATAAAATTTGAAAGTCTTGACAAAAACTATTCACGGAAACAAAGAAATAGAGGAGAAACGTACCCATAATTAGGCCCTCTTCTACTTCTGCAACTTGCAAATCTTCTGCTGTATCCACGACAAATCCATGACAGCTTGACTCCGATGGCCGCCGATAAAGTGTGCCCTCCTCATCCTTCCCTTCCACCACACGAGATCCATCAGCATTAGTAACTGTAGTTTCTGTCTTCCTAAGACCTCTTTTGTCAAAAGCTTTCACATCATCAAGATTGAGAGGTGGTGGTTTCACTCCATGTCCAGCCATGGTGATAAATATTGTTGAGTGTCTGTAAAAATCTTTAAAATATCTGCAAAAAATGGGAAGGATTATGAGAAAACAATTCAGTGTGCAAACCAAACACCCAAACAATAACATAATCTTGATCGCTCAAACAAATCTCCTCCTCATATCCTCATATGTATTTTATTCCTTCATCTAAAAAAGATTAGCACAAAATAAAAAACCGTATGAAAATCTCAGACAAAATTATTCAAAATGACATTACCCATTGGTCAACTTCGGAAAACATTCATTGGAGGAAGTAACAATAACGACAGGTGAATGAATTGTGGCGGCCCATTCACAGTGCGAGGGACCGATTCAAAATTTTGGACAAAGCATCAGGCAATGAGAGACCACGCCTGGCTGCCTGGGGCAGGTAAATTTGACAGTGGGTTAATAAAATAAGGCGGCCGCAGCCGCGTTGGGACAGGTGATCATTTTACACAGTTAATAAATTATATAGAAAAAACACAAAGGGGCAATTGAAAAGTGGTCGTTTGTACAAGTGACTGTATTATACAGGTGGACGTCATGGCAGGTTCGACTGTACTGCTAAATTCGTTAACCGGCTGCAACTCTGTGTTTACAGAAAATAAAATCTAAGAGTACCAAGTGTACCAAACGTTTCCACATTAATAGAATCACTATAATGAACATAGATACATGGAGCCTAATTTTATTAACCCCCCCCCCCCCCCCCCCCTGAATCCCTTCCTTCGCCCCCAATTCTCGCGTAATAATACGAGTGGTCCGCTATTCTTCAATCTTTCCCTGCAATTGTTACATTGTACAGGAGTGCCTTCCTCCGCCCCCAATTCTCGCACAATAATACGAGTGGTCCGGTATTCTTCAATCTTCCCCTCTATAGATTCTATAGTAGATCTAGACTCCAGGCCGGTGATCTTGTAGTTCTAAGTTCCATTGATTAAAGTCCACGATCCATTTGTTTGCATCCAGAGAAGAAATCCAGAAGTCTTGATGACCTAACAACGAACAGGGATGCAACCTCTGCAAAACATTAAATTATGGTAAAATTCAGAGGGGCATGCCCCCCTGAACCCCCCCCCCCCCCCCCCCCCCCCCCCCTCCAACCTCCATAATTTTTTATTAGGTCAGGGGGCAAGCCCCCCCTAAAACCCCCCTAGATCTACTCTTGACTTTAACAAACGAAACTACAAAATCACCTGCCTAGAATAGATCTACTGAGGCTGATTTGTAAACATTAATAAAGCCTTACCAAAAAGAGATTACTACTGTAATAAATCGTAACAGTCGTTCATATTATCAAAAGAAGAAGGTCTTTGTACTCAGGTTTAGAGTGTTGCTGATGGTACTCAAGTTAAAGATCAAGAACCAAGACCTCTAGGACTCCACTCCTCATTTCCCACAATCAGCATTCGCCCAGCAGTCGAGATTGGCGTTGGAGACAGGAGGAAGACAACAGTGGGACTCCGTCGTCTGCTGCCAGAGCTGAGTACCCCATTGCTGTTGTACCGATTGCCGTTTTTTTGTGCTGATTTTGAGTAGGCTAGGCCTATTAAATAACGTAGATTTTAAATTTTGTCTTTTGTATCATTATCAAAAGAAATTTACACATTCTTAGAACCAAATGACATGTTGCTTCTCATTATGGTTTAATCTCCATTCTTATATAATGCAAAATGCAAAAGTATGATAAATAATATTTTCTTTTTCTTTAAAAGTGCCTGATCGAAATATTTCTTGGTCTAGGACAAAACAAAATTAGAAAAATGAACAATAATTGTATGAATTTAAGAATAGAAATAGCCTCCGATGAAAAACCGCTGCAAAAATTTGTTCTTGCCGCGATAAAATATGTGTGTGAGTGTGTGTGTGTGTGTGTGTGTGTGTGAATTACATTGTTTTCTTAATAAACTTTGTAATGGACAGGCACACTAAAACTTTGAAAAACATGTCTATATTTTGATCTAAATCTAGTTCTTACCATTGTGAAAACCATCTGCAGTGCAATCAAAAGACCATATTAATGCAGAGATCTACTATTCATTTATGCTTTTTTTAAAAAATGGAAGTAACCAGATCTAATCCTGGCAAATTATATTGAAACAGATTGCACAAATCGCTAATCTGTTTGAGGATTCAAACTCAAATTCTGCAGATAACACACACGTGTTTGACTTCAGTTGGTCGGGAATCTGTTAACTAATTGGTTTTTAAAAAAAACAACATCTTTATCACTTTTTGGCGTTTCAAACAACAGATTCATACTGCAACTAAATGAGCTGCGAGAAAACTCTCAACCCTCAAACTCAGTCCTGATGAAACCTTGCAACCCTCCCGCCGGCTGACTACATGGTTTCATCACGACAAAAAAGTTGTAATGAAACCTCGCATCCCACAGTGTAACCAGTCAAACCATAAAAAAGTGTGTGTTTTTTGCACTAACCACGTTTCTAAGGTGTTTTCATTTATATGTATCAACTTTGATTCATATAGATCATTTTGTTCTAGAGTAAATCAGTTTTTTGTCTCTCCTGTAAAATTTTCCTTTCTGGGGTTACGAGGTTTCATTACTCCACCAGCGAAATGCCGTTTTCTACTATAATATTTATTGTTCAAGTTTGTGTATCCGTCCATTTTTGCTGAAAAATGGTCCAGCAAACGAACCGGGAATGTAGCAACTTCATGCGTCCTAGGCCTAGGCCTACAACGCTGAACACTGAATCGGAAGCAGGAATACCAATTTGCCCATTTGTTTGAAATAGCTTGTACTCTTGTGTATATAATGTATGCGAAGTGGGACTATACCCTTGAGAATATATTACCCTGAAGCAAAAATTATCATAAGAAATATCTGTAATGATGCAGAAAATATTGTAGAAATTGTTTTGGTAGTAATCTAGGGATTTCGGGGAGGAAATATTTTTTTACTTAGCACTCTGGAATAAATCTGGCACTCTCTACAATAGCTAAACACGATTTAGAATCGTTTGTCGTACCTCCATGCCCCATGCTTTTGGTGGTTTGGAACTGCTACCACAACAAAACACTTATCCCGAGCTGTTCTTGTGTTACATTTCAGCTTGATATTTTCAGAAAAAACAGATATTGATACAACAACTGTTGAAGAAAATAAAGCCACAGGATGGCGGACGCAACGGCTCGTTCCCTGCAGTACGAGTATAAAGCTGTGAGTCGAGTTTCTTTTTAAATTGTTCAATGTTTTCATTTGATCAGACATTTTTGCTTTGATTTGAAGCTGAAATTAATCTAATTATTCTGATCTAGAAATCTAATATCTAGATCTAGAACTAGATTAGATATAGATCTAGATCAGATCTAGACATCTATACCAATTATTTTTGTAAGAGGTTTAGTTTAGGGCCACCTCTATTCTCACCCGGGGTGCAGGCGAGTCTTTTGGCTATTCTCACCCGGCGCGTTCACCGTTATAGCCTAGATCTAGATCTAGGCCAACAAATTTTGCGTTCACCCTAAACCACAGAATTCTACACCGTGATAACAGAAAAATTGTAGAATTCTGTGCCGTGAACAAACGTTCCATTACAACTGTAGCCTACTAAAAGCGTACAATTTTGTCTGTGGGCAGTGGAGAGAGAGAAAGAGAGAGAGGAGTAGCGCGAAAACTTCCGGGCAAAACAAAATTGGGACCCGCGTAGTTCGGCTCGATTCGAAAAGTTAAATAGCCGTAGCATCTTTGTAGACAACCAAATTAATTTACTTTTGTGTTTTAACATCATTTTTTAACTTTGGTCAATTTGATCGTCCACACCGATAGAAAGTGTATTCAGAAAGAGAGAGAGAAGAGGGGAGGAGTAGATCTTGCGAGAACTTCTGGGCGGGTGAGAATAGCCACTTTCAGAGCTTAGTCTTAGACTTATAAACTAGACTTCTTATAAAAGGGGCATCCTCACAAAGTACAGAGGGACTTCCCGGCGCTTTTTCGGTAGTTCCCACCCCGCAATTGTTATTCACGGGTTTGGCCACAAGAGTAGGGGGGTTTCACTTGCCCCCCTGACCTAATAAAAATAGGAAGGGGGGTTTCAGGGGGGCATGCCCCCCTGAATTTTACCAAATGTTTTGCAGTTGTTAGGTTTGATATCTTAGCTCACCGCGAATCTAACGTATAGATCTATATCTAGATGTAGGTCAGGCTCAAATAAGGGGGGTGGGAACTACCGAAAAAGCACCGACTTCCCTAACGAGCGACCACTATGAGACAGAGCAGAATTTAGGGGTAGGGTTAGGCCTCTTCTTTATTGTGTTTGATGGGTGTGGTCGCTCGTTACGGAAGTCCTTCCCTCACAAATAATATTTGGCTGATGGCTGATGTTAGGGGACCGTGCACCCCCCTAGTATTTGGTGATAGGTGGCGGTAGGGGAGGCACCCATACTCAAGGCTAGATCCAGGCCTACTGCCTGATTGCTTGGTGTAATTTTGCAGTATCATATCGGATAGCCATCTTTCAAAGAGAGGCATAAATTTGTCATTTTATATATACGAATTTGACCATTAAAATCACTGCAAATCAATCTAAAATGTGAGAAAATTGGCGGGCAAGCCCCCCTGCCTCTATCCTATTCTATATAGATCTAGAGTCTATATTCTAAAGGTTTTTGAAGGCGAAAAAGAACATAAAAGACACCTCTGAAAAAAAAAAACATTTTCTGACCTTACTCATGCTGCTTTTCGCAATAATCGAAGAAAAGCCCTTTTGTTGTCAGAAACATTGAAACCACAATGCCTCCTCTTTTTTGTCTTAGGAGGAATCACAAAACTGTTCCTGCAGCGCCATAAACACTTATCCTCATGAAATGTGCACTGCGTATTACGCTTCAGGCTCACTACCTCCTTCGGCAAAACACAGTGCTACCGTACAAAATCACGGCTTTTCTGGTTGTCTTCATAGAATCTTGAGGTGGCTGAGAAATAATTGAAGTGCACAACTGGCACGAATCCAAGACATGCCATAATATAACCCAACTCAGATGAGCAGTAGCGCGAGAATGACGGTTAGACTAGAAGATTTCAAACTTTTAGAGGGAAATTACAAAAAGCAAAGTAAACACAGCAGACATCGTGAAATGCACATGCGCAAGAATTAATACTAATACAAAAAGGTTTGAAGTCGTGTGCGCATGCACATTCAAAAAGGTTAGATAATAATAATGGATTGCATTTATATAGCGCATTTATCCACTTATGCAATGCTCTATGCGCTTAACATGATACATATGGATTTACAAATCAATTTTAAAGGCACATAGTGCTACATACGCGTGCACACACATATTCCAGCACGCACGCACCACACACACATACACACATATACGTACATCGCACATACAAACTCACAACGATCTACAGCTTGAATAGATTCTGTCTAATCGAAATATGATGAAAATGTAAATGCTTTTAGTTTCTTCTTAAAAATTTCTAGATTTTCTGCTTCTCTGATAGTTTTAGGAAGCCTATTCCAAACAAGAGGGGCAAAATATGAAATAGAGCGTTGGCTATATGATTTGTAATTTATTTTTGGTTTAACAAGGGTAGTTTTGTCACTTGATGATCTGAGCGTTCTAGGAGGTACATAGGGTGTTAAAAACTGTTTTAGATAGTCAGGTGATAAATCATGTAAGCACTTGTAGCAAGTTAAACAGATTTTATATGATACACTCTTTCACCGGGAGCCAGTGTAGTTCTTTAAAATAGGAGTCACATGATCATGCTTTAGTTTCTTAGCAATTATTTTGGCAGCAATATTTTGTACTCTTTGTAGTTGTTGTAACTGTTCATCAGGTACACCATCCAGTAAGGAATTGCAATAATCAATCCTTGACAATATAAGTGATGTTATTAAAGTTTTGATGGCTCATGCGCCTAGTCTATGACACATGACTCGCCATGTAATCACATTGTTCTTTTCCAGTGTATTAGTACGCCAAGTTGGTGAAAATATAATGCAATACAGGTATCAATATCTCGCAGACGGGACATTGAATATATTCGTTAATAACAGACCCGTAAACCTACAAAAACCATTTTTTTAAAAGTAGTCAACATAAGTTGGGTCCAGCTTTGCAATAATACCCTGCTTGGCACTTGGGGACTGTACGCCTTCACTGGGCTTGTTCTTAGGTGACCGTACGCCCCCCTAGTGTTCAGCGCTAGGGGACTGTACGCCTTCATTGCACTGAGGCTTGGTGTTTAGGGGCTTTATGCAGATTTGCATGCATCTGGACTGAAAAGATACTGGAAGAAAACAGCCAGTTAAACGAAGCTCCTGGTGTTAGAAGTTAATAGCGGGAGAATGTTTAAAATGTCTCAACACGATTGTGGGGTATCTATATATGAGAATCTAGGTGAAATTGTTATCTAAAGTGCCTTAGTGGTAGTTGTGCAACTGCAGCAGAAGATTGTTACGTGTACCATCAGTCTTGGTAGTGCATGAGAGCTTGATAAAGGTACCGTTTATTGGTACGTCTTTTTTGTATTTAGGTAGGACAATTTTTAGCAGTTAAAATGTAGGCCAACAAGATCCACGATGTAGTAGTGTACTTCTTTAGCAATGCCAATGGAAAATTAATTTTTCACTTTAGGCCTTTTTTATTTGGTACCTATTTTTAAGAGTTTTTAACTAACTTGCTTAAAAGGTCAGGACATACTTTTTTATTCTAAGGCTGGGACTTGGTGTGGACAATAATGTGTAAAACACTGTTTTTGTTTGTCAAGGATTTGATTGATAAAAGGGTAAGTTTCAGTATGAAGATTCAGAGAAGTCTTCCATGAAAAGAAGAGAACGTGTTGAAAATTTAGAGGAGAGTTTGGATGGTAATTAATTATAATAGAGTATAGGTCACCTTGTGCAACTCGAGGTCCTCTTTTGTAATAGACATTCATTTGTATTTTTTGTCTTTGTTAAAATCAAAGACCATTTTTCCATGTTGAAGTTAAGAATACAGTTTACAGTGATGAGATTAAAATGTAACATGGTCTTGTACTGTTGTCCCCCCAGTTTAAGTGGGAAAGACCCAACCATTTATTATAAAGTTATAGTTGGTCATTGCTCATCAGATGAGGAATTTATAAAATGGCATTGATATTGATCTAAGTCAGAGTCAGACAATTTTTATAATGAGAGAGCTTTTCAAGTAATAACATGCCTGGCACAACTTTGAAATTTTTAAAGGTTTAAATAAAAAAAAGGTAATGATGCCTTTGCGGAGTGAAGGCCGTGTCAGTGGGGATAACACTTAGTGTTTGGTGAAATGTATTTGTATTTTAAGTCCAATTAGTGAGTGGTTGGTGGGTGCTCTGGTGTGGTTTGCGCTTTCTTTCCTATCAAACATCTATTGTCCTGATCTCTCCTCCTTTTTTTTTTGTGTTTGTTACTCTCTTGTAAACCTCTAATCTTCGGCACTTATATGACCTTATTGTGTTGCAAGTGCCGTAAAATTCTTACTAAAAACTAAAACTCAGTCCAATTCAGGTATCTGCTGATTTGCTAATGTTATGTGTTTACTCCCACTTTTTCCCCCCCAATTCTTTATCTCTACAGTTCGCGCATTTTATGTTTCTCGTCCTGCGTAAATCAATTTATTTTAGACACTTCACATTGTCTTTTTAAATTTTAAAAAAACAACACTTTTTATTAGATTACCTCTAAAGATAAAGCATTGATGCATGAACTGATGCATTTTATTATGATGAATATGTATTGACGGCTGAGCGCAAGAAGTGGCTATATCCATTTTTCATAGTTTCGAGAAAAATGAGTTGGGAATTTTGACGATATTGAAATCTCGATAACCAAATAAGCTTCGGCGTAGATATTTACAGAGGCAAAAGAGCAGCTTAAAACTTCACTCCATGTCAATTATTCTAATTCGACCAAAAGTGGATATAGTCACTTCTTGCCCTCAACCATCTATATAATTTTTTTAATTATTGCTGATTTTGGTTTATATTTTTGTCACTGAAAAATTATTGTTCAGTTTTTTTTAACAATATCTTGAATTTTGTTTTTGTCTTCCCACAGAACTCAAATCTTGTGTTGAGTGTTGACAGAACTTTGATAGACAGGAGAGCAAGAGATGAGGCCACAGGAGAAGTTATGTCCCTTGTTGGGAAACTAGTTGGCACAAGGATGGGTGACAAAGCTCTGAAAAGTAAACCACCGATGATGGAGGAAAGAAAAAATAAGTGAGTAATACATTTGGTTGGAACAAAAGTAAACAATAGTTATTGAAGAATTTACAAGCATTTTTTTTTAAGGATGATGGTGAAATCTGGGAATGAAAGTATGTTGCTGTGTGCCATATTTGTGAAACTTAACCCCTATCCCCCAGGTCTTGAATCAGCAAGGCCCTAATTAGCATGTGCACTGAGCTTTCAGCGGGACCTATGTTTTCATAACTGAAGTATGTGTGTGTCAGTGTTCTTGTGGTTGCGTATGTTTGTGGCCTACTTTTAGGACTCGGTGTCGTTTCAAAACCAAGGTGTACATCTTGTTAAAAACATGATGTAAAATTGGGATGAAAATCCATATCATGGCTTTTTTTCCCCAATCAGACGCCGGAAGCGAGATGAAGCACAGCATGACATGGTGAAGATGAAAGGAGCTACCCTTCTTTCTGAGGGAATTGATGAGATGGTGGGGATTCTGTACAGACCAAAAACTACAGAAACACGTCAGACATATGAGGTTCTTCTCAGTTTCATTCAGGCTGCCCTAGGAGACCAGGTATATTCAGTAGTGAATTAGTTTCAGTGATTTCTGTCTCCTAGCATACTCATCTTCTTTGTTGTGCCTCTGGGGTACAAGATTGAAAGTTAAACGATAGCAGAAAGGCAACCTGTCTGTTCAGTTCATGTCTCTCATTTTGTGGTAGTTGGCAGGTGCTCTTGTGTGGTTTGCTCTTTATTTATCAAACATCTATCGTCCTTATCCCTCCTTCTTTTTTTGTGTATATTACTCTCTTGTAACACATCTGTTGTTCAGCACTCATATGACCATATTGTGTTGCAAGTGCCTTAAAACTCTTACTAAAACTATCTCCCATTTTAATGAATGGCTTTGGTTCATGTTATGTCATCAATACAATGTGTTTTGGGCATTCTCGTCTTCAATATAGGCATGTTCGATGTTACAGTATGAGGAATATCTTGCAGGCTGTGTTCTTTTTCTCTTTTTTTAATAAACAATCCAACAGGCATCCTTGGAACAAGATTCATTTCATTATCATTGAGAAGGAAAAAATTACTAATTTTTCAGTTTTTAAAAAATATTTTTTTCTGACCACAAATTTAAACCTGCATCTATTGAGTGTGTTCCTCCACCTCCCTTTACCTGCTCTACGTCAAACGTTGTATTGTCCTTTTGGTTGATACATTCTATGGTCATGATTTTTCAAATGGCTGCATGGGTGTTAGTGTCTGAAACTATCTCTCATGGTGGAAAAGAATTTTCTTCTCATGTTTTGATTGTGATCTGATATGCTTTGCGGCATTATCATCTGCACAGCAGATTTTTTTTGTATTAACTGATGATTACTTTTCCTTTTGGTCCCTCGTGGAGCTTAGGCTGCAAACAAGCTCTCTCCAGTCATCAAGACCTCAGGCCAGTGTCTTTATGATTACTAAAGATTGATTCATTGTTCATTCTGACAGCCTCGCGATGTTCTGTGTGGTGCTGCTGATGAGGTGCTGATTGTCTTGAAGAATGAGCGCATGAAAGACAAGGAAAAGAAAGTTGAAGTTGAAAGTTTGTTGGGAGAACTCGCAGAGGAAAGGTTTGCCCTGCTTGTCAACCTTGGCAAGAAAATCTCAGACTGGAACCAAGAGGAAAAAATGCAGACAAGTAAGTAGTTTTTTTTCATTTCATAATGGCTTTAGTTTGTTGTTTTAAATGGTCCAGTTTGTCCAAAGTACTACTTTTCTGTGTTGCCCCATCGCTAACTTTCATACATTTTTAGAATTTTTTATGCTGTCTGGAAAAAATATATAGCTGATTCATGGTCTGCTTTTTGAGAATATTTTCCAGTATATTAGAATGGTCACCCATGTTTTGCCGCAATTCAAAACCCCATAACTATTTTATTTAAAATCTTAGAAAACATTATGCTTAGAATAGACAGCTTTTCCTCAGACTGCAGTCAAAAGAGGGCTAACTTTACAAATCAATCGCATTCCCATAAAATTATTTTTTCAAAGAGTTGCTGATGTATTGTCATTGCTGTTCTTGTTTTGCTGAATTTTGAGGGACTGAGTGTCATATCAATGCTGCAGACTGCAAGAACCCGGGACCTTTGAATGAGAGGCGAACACCTTAACCTCTAGGCCACGAGAGCCCCCCAGTTTTTTCTTGTAACGGCAGTAGTACGTAATGCCAATCTCTCTCTCAGCAGTTGAATTAAAAGGTCTGAGTTGTGATTAAAGTTTTGTCTTTGCTTCTATAATATTCCAGCTGAAACCATTGACTTTGACGAAACATATGGTGTCAACGTACAGTTTGAAGAGTCTGATGATGAGGTAAGTGATTTTTTGGCCGCTGGTCTTTGAGTTCTAATTTTGTAATATTTGATTTACCGATATTGTTATTATACCTGCTAATGGTTGGTGAACTGTCTAGATGCTGATCAAGTGTGAGCTATGATTATACAATATGATAAGGCACACTGCTTTCACAGATATTAATGAAAAAGCTTTTTTCTTGTAGTGTAACTATAATAAGTATTTTTCTTGAAGTTGTTTAAAAAGTAGCTTTAATTCACTGTTGTGTGTTTTGTTGATCCAACAGGATACAGCAGATATGTATGGTGAAGTCCAAGAGGAGAAGGATGTAGATGAGGATAATGAAGGAGAAGAAGCTGCATTTGATGCTACTCTACATGCAAATGTAAGTTTTTTTGTAGAACTGAAAATAAATGTGCTTCGTTGTTGTTCTTGGTCTCTGTATGTGTGTCAGTTATGTATAGGTGTAAGTTAGAACTTTTGTCTTTTGAAAAGAATTTTAAAAAAAAGAAACTTCAGACAGTGGAAAGTTTCGCGGCGCAAGCTATAACACATACAAGTATGTGTTAAGCACCGAAATGCTACAAGTGTAAAGGATTTAAAAAATTTTTTTTATTGCTGCAGTGAATTACATCAGATCTATTTTCCCTCTCAGTTCTTGGAGGAATGACTGTAACACCTTTGTGTCATCAAGTTGAGATGGGTCAACAAGCCATCAAGCTGCATCTTCTTCAGAGACATTGTTTGAATCAGTCTGTCAAAGTGGATCACAGTTAATGATATTGATCTCCTCTGCAATATGAATGTCTGTCTCGTCCTCTCTATCTTCCTGTTCTTACATATAGTAGAGAAGATTTTAATATTTGTATTAGATTGATATCAAGTAGCACTAGATGCAGTCATTTGAACATGTATTATTTTCCCAAAATAGGTGATAAATGAAAGCGGAACCCTCTACGAATAAATTAAGGTGTCGTTATCCCAATTTAACAGTGTTTGTGTAGCTCAAAATAAGACTGCCAGTATGTTGGGTGCATGCACAGAATTTGCTGTGTTTGCTGCCCAAGGACCACGCCTCAGCATGGTATGTGCCGTGTTTACGGACGGACATGGTGAGTTACATGATACAGGGTTTGTAAAAATGAGTGGACACATCTTAACTGCACTGTATTAAATTACTTAATGTCAAGATTTGTCAAAGTTACATAATTGTGTCATATACACCTTCAAGAGCTACAAGTTTGAAATGAGATTCAACTATTTAGATTAGTTGTACATTTCTGTTTTTCTCCAAGAATGGTTAGGGAAATTTTTCTCTTATCTTTATGCAAATAAATATCTGCAGTTATCTGAGGAGGCGAAGAATAAAGCAGACAAGGGACTTCACCCCAGAGAAATTGACGCATTTTGGATCCAGCGTAAAATCAGCAAATTTTATCCAGATGATCCAAATATGGCTCAAAGCAAAGCAAAGGAAGTGCTTGAAATTCTGAAGGTACATTGTGAAATTTATTTTGTATAAAGTTTGTTGTATGTTTCAGGGTGTCCAGCAAAGTCGTAAAGTCGTAAAAAAGTTGTAAATTCAGCGCCCTGGTCGTAAAGGTCGTAAATGGTAGTAAATTTGCCTTGAAGGTAGTAAAAATTTGGTAAACGGTCGTAAATTAGCCTGCGTACTGAGTGATGAAGCCAGCAAGACTTTTCAGTGAACCCTAGCCGTGGTACATGACTCCGTTTTTGACGGTCGCGATTGTGAAATAATTATTCGTTCACCTTTTCCCCGTCCGAGAGTACGTTTCATGCAAAAAGCCGGCTATGGCGGCAGGTGGAAGTGTATGTGACACCGAGGCTCGATCGGGAAAAATCAAGATTCGCTTTCGTTACCATCTTGAAATTTGGCGTAGATAAACTGATAACGCAACATTTGTAATATGCAGGTTGTACAGTATACCCGCTTTGTCGCCGTGCAAATAAAATTAATAATTACTCGGACTCTTCACCGTGCTGTCACTTGTGGGGGTGGGGTGGGGGGTGAAAAGAAAATACAAGCTTTGTCCGATTTTTAGATTGTCGGGTTCGCCAGCGTGACAGGTCAGTGAACCTTCGCGCGAGGCACTACAAGGTACGGCATCGGTGAGCACTGGCGTTTGTTGGGGTCGCCAAAGTTCATTAAAAAGTCGAGCGTTGCGAAGTATAGGACTACGGAGTAGGGCAGGGATTATTGATTTTTTTAAAAAGAGACACTCGGGGGAGGGGGAGGGAGCGGATGATGGCAACACCAGAGGACAAAAACTGTAAGCAAATTTCAGAATTTTGATTAGATTTAGAGCCCTCTGCAAAGCGCGCGTTGGTGCAGGCCTTGTGTGGAATTGGGATCCTTCATACCTTGTAAGCCGTGTTATTGAAATAAAGTGTTCGCGTTTCATTTGTTGGGTGATAGTAAATTAGAACAATATTGTAGCTTTCTGTTCAAGATTGGTAGATTTTCAGTGTCACTGCCTCTTGCCCTCTCACAGTTCTTACAACTCTCACACTGAATAGGTTTACTTGAGTCATTACGTGTGTGCGCGTTGTTGTTGTGTAACATGGCCCTGGAAAATGGAGAAGCCGGTTTGGCAGTCACCCTGTGTGTACACATTAGGTATAAATCTAAACCCCCCCTCCCCCTCCCACCTCCACCAGGGCAGTGCTTCTGACTGAAACGTCTTTAGGCCATTCCCAAAGGGAGGATATTAACATGTTCTTATCTTATGCACAGTAGAATTGTAAATGGGCTGATTTATCAATGTCATGCTCATACTGTACTGGACCAGCGTAGGGGGAACTGCTGCCTTTTCTGTCCTCTTCTTTACTATCGTCATTTTCCTCTACTTCTTTTGTATGTTTGTCACGCTTGTGAACTACTATTTCCGGGGTGCCTTGATAGTCGAAGCTTGATTCCCTGTTTGGACTTCTCTGTTGACATCCACCCCTTGTCGCTCATATCACCTATGCAGTTGCGAGCGCCGTAAAAACCTTACAAAAACTAAATCTAGCTGCAAGCAAGCTTGCGATCGTCTGTCTATCCTCCATTTTGTCGACTGGACTTTGTTGTGTGTTCTTCTCGTTCCATATGTTATGTAATAATAATGTATATGTTATGATGGCGCAAATTAACTCCTTTTTTCGAGCTGGTGTGGGGTTTGATTTGCTGGGTAGTCAATTTTTTTTCCAGGTAGTCAATTTTTTCAGGAAATATTGCTGGACACCCTGATGTTTCCTGTGCGTTCTTTTTTAAAGCAGATATGGTTTTTTGTTATCCATTGACAGGAGAGTGGAAATTGTTGTTTTGGGTGCTTTTCTATTTCTTTTGTGGGGATATGGTTTCTGTTGTAAGATTAAATGAATTGTTTTTAAGTGATTTGCTGTTGTGTAAAAAGAAACAGATTCTTTCATGTGATAATTGAAAATAATACAGTGAAATTATCGGTCATATTTTGTCTGTATTGACAAGAGAGTACAAACAAGTTAATATTTTGTTTTAATTTCAGTGTAAACAGAAAGTGGTTAGTTGTGTGGGTTCCCAAAAGAAATCTGATCAGGTTGTTTTTTAATTGCTGTCATGTTTTATTCTTTGCAGACGGCAGCTGATGACAGAGAAGCAGAGACAAAACTTGTGATGCTCTTGGATGTTTCTCATTTTGAATTCATCAAAGTCTTGCGACAACACAGACAAATGAGTAAGTAATTATTTTTCTCTTATCCCAGTCTCATAACTGAGCCCTCTGAGACTTACCCTACTGCTGAGCTCCCGGGACTTGCACACCTGGGCTCCATAGGATCAGCTGCTGGATTTACACCTGTGAAAACTGGTGTGCTGAAGGGTAGAGGTGGCTTTAAACTGAGGCGTGATCTCTGGTTTGTAAGGTTAAACAATACTGGGTGATTAAAAAAGAATGCACCAAAATCATTATGCAATATTTCAAAAACGAAAAACAATTGAAAACCTTCAAGTTTTTATTTTATGTTTTAAAAGGGCTCAATGTGGCCACTGCTGACAGCTTGGACAAGATCAAGCTATGAGAATTCCTTCCAAACGCGCCTCTGGATGTCTTGGTCCGCTGTGTTGATTGAAGCTGTTAGTCCATCTTTCATGTCATCAATATTTGCAGGAAGTGGTGGAACATAAACTTTTTCTTTACCATACCCCCACAAGAACAGGCTATTCACTTTACTGCTCGCTGATTTCAATGACTTCATTTTTCAACAAGATGGAGCACAGCCCCAGTGACATCTCGGGATTCGAGCTTATATGAATGAGTACGTGCCTCAGCGGTGGATTGGTAGGAGAGGTGCTAAAGACCTCGCTCTTTGTGCTGGGCTGCCTATTTCTTGTGGGGTTAAGTTAAAGACAAAGATTATGTTTCACCATTTCCAGCAAATATCGATGACATGAAAGATTGAATAACAGCTACAATCAACATGGTGGACCCAGGCATCCTGAGGCACGTTTGGGCGGAATTTTCATACTGGCTTGACATTGTCTGTGCTGCCAGTGGTGGCCGCATTGAGCACTTTTAAAACATGAAATAAAAAGTTAAAGATGTGTACAACATATTTGTCCAAGCTAGAGTTTTCTATTGTTTTTTCGTTTTTGAAATATAGCATGATGAATTAGGCGTTTTCTTTTTTAATCACCCTATATTTTGCTCCAAGTTATTCAAAATGCCATTTTCATATCAATAAGTCATGGGTTTAAGAAATTTTAAAAATTGATCTTTGTGTGCTTAATTTTTCATGCTAAAAATACATCACAACAGGACCAATACAACATCAAACCATCAAGGATTTTGGGTGGTGGGGATATTTATTTTAGCTTTTCACTCACTTATGCTCATGGTTGAAGGGTGCCACTTGTAGTTCCTACTTCTTTTCTTTCCGTCTATAATATGTTAGTCTTATTTTTTTACGCTCATCAAATGGCTGTTATCATTCCGATGTGCTTCTTTTTACTCCGTCTCTCTTATTCTTGTGTTCCCTTAATATGTACATGTACATTTTTCCTTTTATCCTCCTCCTGTGAAACAGTCCTGTACTGTACGTTGCTGGGTCAGGCACAGACTCCTGCGGAGAAGAAGAAGATAGAACAGACGATGTTGGCCGACCAGGATCTGAGTGTGATCTTGAGCGCCCTTCAGGACACGGACCAGGATGATATCGTCGGCGAGGAGCGGGCTCGACGCCAGCAGGCTAGGCAGTCCAGGGTTGCTGCTGATATTGAGGCTATGGATGTCACTGAGGAGGAGGTCAGTTGGTGTTTATCAAAATTCTGTGGATTTTACCCCAGACTTTTACTTCATGAACAGGGTTGGTTTTTGTTTTTTTATTTTAAAATATATTTACAATGGTTTTCACTCCTGCATTTTAGTTGATGTGCAATGGATTTTGATCCTAGTTTTGAGTTGATCTATTAAGTTAATATGCAGTAGTTTTATTCCTGATTTTGAGTTGATGAATAGTAGGTTTTTTTATATTTCTCAACTATCTTCTCTGGGGTTTTTGTTTTTTTGTTGCAATAGTTACTGGTTGTGCTTATGTTAAAGATTTACTGGATTCAGAGCTTTTGTAGTTGGTCATTAAATTCAGAGGTCCTTTCCTGACTCTATAATGATTTAACAGTGATGAAAGAGGTGTTAAACCCATACATTAAAAACATTTTTTTTTTTACTGGTTTCACTTTTTCTACCCGTTGAATTGCCATTCTTGTGTCGATGCATTATGAATTTAAAATTAAATATTTTACTAGTTTGATTTGATGTTTGTTTGTTGTTTCTCATTCTTTTTCTTCTGTAGGAGGTTGGTCCAGTCCAGACCCTGTATCTGGAGGATCTTGTATTCAGCCAGGGCAGTCACCTCATGGCCAACAAAAGATGTCAGCTGCCGGACGGCTCCTACAGGAAGCAGAGGAAAGGTAAAGGAAGGAATGATAACTTCGCCACCAGAGAATCGCTCTCGTGTCTTCTCAGTGCTATTGTGAAAAGCCAAATCATTACACCATAGATACCAGAAGTCTTTAATGCTTTTGGTGAATGTAATTGCCGCTTCTTTAGAGCCTGGTTTCGGGGATGGTTGATGGGTGCTCTAGTGTGGGTTGCTCCCTCTTTCTTAGCAAACTCTTATCATTCCTATCTCTCCGACTTTGTTTCTTTGTTTGTTACTCTTTAGTAACACTTGTAATATTCAACACTTATATGACCTATTGTGTTGCAAGTGCTCTAAAACTATTAAAGCTAAAAAAAAAAAATTTAAAAAGACAGAAAAACTAGAGCCTGCATTAGTAACACAGAAAAGATCCTTACTTTATTAGATTAAGATATATTTATTGTCAGTAAAGAGGCAAAGAACCACTCTGTGAGCAGCTACAAGTTACCTCATCAACAGTCTTAACTCAGTTAAAATAATATTAATTTAGTAGATACAGTGGAGTCCTCTTAAACTGAAAACTGGTAAGTTGAAAGAAAACAGAATCCCCGATATTTTTCTCTGCTATTTAAGCAGTCTCTCTAAACTGAAAACTTGGCTAAACGGAAGAATATCTGGTGGTCCCGTAGATTTGGGAAAAACCCTTTGTTGACTTAGAAGTGTCTGGTATGTCTGGAAATTGTGAAATAATTAGCTCTGTACAGTACCATGGATGCCACGGAAGTTGGCAAAATTTGCTGCTCCTGGTTGCCCTTACTCACAAGTGGCGTGTGGATTCGTATTCAGGACTAAAAGACACGCATATCAGAACCAAATTTACTAGTGCTACTTTACTGCGAGGCTTACAAGCGATCAATAAACATAGATGTAGTCTTGCAGATGACCGGATGCTATCACAATATGTAAACAACAATATGACTTTTAAAAGAACAAAAAATTTCACTTTTTGACTTCGATTTGCAAGTTATTCGAAATAATGAGTAAGCTGGGGGATATAAGTTATAGGGGGTGAAGGAAGTGAGAAAAGTGACACGATTGAAGACCCGGGGTCCAATATATGTCACAAGTTCCCTAGATCTAGACCGCAAGTCCACTAACGCTGAGACATGAGACTGCTGTCCTGGGTAAGGAGCTAAGCTGAAAGTGGATGCTGCCAGTAGGAACAACGCTTACTACTTGGCAACGAATGGGATAAACGTTCTCTACTGTATTTGAAATAGAAGCAAAGCAAACATACTTTGTCTATTTGTTTGTAAGTAAATGGTCAGTGGGTCAATGTAGACAATATTAGTTATAGACTAAAGTGGATTCGTTCATACTAATAACAATATTACAATCCTTTCTTTCTCAGGTTATGAAGAGGTTCATGTCCCTGCTTTGAAACCAAAGCCTTTTGACAACAATGAGGTAAGAGAATATATCAGTCTTTTTTTGTTCTTTCTTTTCCTTGCAGCTTTGCATCATGTGAATTGAGCAAATGTTTTTGTTTTGTTTTGACAATACATTAACCCTTTGAGCCCTTGCCACCGGTATAGTGATGAGCGAGACCTTATCCCCAAACCGGCCTGTCCGGGACAAAATGTGCACGGGAAACTGTGTTTACTACACAGGACATTACTGATTTAAAACGTGCACGGGAAACTGTGTTTACTACTCAGGACATTACAGATTTATTTGAAAATCTTTCTAAATTAAAATGCTAATAATGACGAGGACTGCCATGAGTGGGATATGGAATGTGATTCTGACGATCACATGAATGTTAGTAATATATATTGTTCTGGAGCTCAGGCAGAGGGGCACGTTAGCATGGGGAGGCCAGGGCTCAAAGGGTTAAACCACTCAAATATAGTTGCCCATATACAAGGCTTTGAATAGTGATACACCATGGGACTCTCTTGTGTCATGTTTCGTCGGTTTCTTTTGTTTTTGCAAAAGTCGAACCGACAATCAATAGCTGCGCCCCATCCCTTTTTTCTGAGGTCATAGTCAGAAAGGTCTATGGTTCATGGAAATTGTTCTGTCCAAAATTGTAATTAGTGAGATACAAGTCTTTGCTGGGTTTTGTAATGGTTTAGCGTGTATCACACCCTCTGGGGGGTTATTTTGTGTTTGTATTTTGATTTGGAATTTTTGCCTTTTTATGTTTTGTTTTGTTTGGGAGGCGTTTGTGGGGGGAGACTGTTTATGGTAAAATGTCTCATGGTAGTAGTTTTTCCCACAGGTAGTAGACTTTTTACTCACATCTACCCTCGTTGCGAACCTTACAGTGCAAACAAACAGCGCGAATACTTGGAGTTAGCTCTGCAAACGTTTGTTTTTTGTACCTATTTTCTGTTCTTCGGCGGTGAAAATCTTGTTTGTGGGTGGTTGGAGGGTGCCACTGGTAGGTCTTATTTCTTTTCTTTCCTTCTGTAGTTTCTGTCTGTCTGTCTGCCTTGCTTCTTCATCTCCTTAAATTGTCGTTTTGATGCGCTTGGTTTTTCTGTTGCGATTTGGTCCTGATTTCCAATCACACATCTATCCTCTTTATCTCTCCTCCTCCTCCTTGTCTTTGTATGCTACTTTCAAGAAATAGAAACACCTCTAATCTTCGGTTCCTGTGCACTTATACTGTCGCAAGTGCCGTATAAAAGTCGAACAAAAACCTTTGTTTTTAAAAACACAGCAGCAATTAGCATAGATCGCTTGGAGAATTGGGAGCATG